AAATCGAATGTAAATTCCGATGGTAAAAATGTTGATGATGATGATAGTTCTAGTGATACAAGCGATGAATTAACATTTGAAGTTCAACGATGTGTTGTTCATATTGATACTGGACATATTAAATTGCCTAATGATATGCCACGTTTTCCAGATCGAACTTGTTTTATAAATGAATTAAATAATATTTTATTACGATTTAATAATTATATTCATAGTAATTTATCAAAAAAATCTTTTAAAACTAAACAAAAATATCAACAGAGTGAAGATTGGACACATATTGATGGTGAAAATTTATTAAAAGAATCAAATTATGAACCAAGTCAAGCATTAGCAAGACTTGCAGCAATAGCTAAACGTGCTGGAATTGTTATTAACAATAATGATGATGAAAATAGTAATAGTAGACTATCATGTTTATTTAATGAATCTGAATTACATCGAATATCAGCGAATAATTGTTTACGTGTATCATTTATAAATCGTTTTGCCCAATTATTTAGTCAAATGGATGCATTTATATGTTATCCACCAGTGGGCAAATATTCTAATGTTGATCAATTGTTAGCACAACGAAGTACAACAAAAAATTTTGATCGAACTATGTTTATTGCTGATCAACCAAAACCACATGTGCCTTTTTTTACTTGCATTTATGGAAACACAATCATTTGTTTCATTTGTTGATAGTAAATTGCATCAAAATTTAATGAAGATAATCATCTTTTTGGTTTAACGAATAAACATTTACAAGTAAAAAAAATTTTTTTTTAATTAAATTCCTTCATATGAATTTATTTTTATTTTTTGTATTCAAGGTATTTTTCTGATCATATTCGTTTATATTGTGATTGTCGTGATTTAACTTATCAATATTGTTCATTAATTGTAATGAATGCACCATTAGTTCGTCCACTTGATAATTCATTTTCTATATCGAATAATTCTTATTTATTTGAAAATCTTAATGAAAGTTTACTTGAATCAACAACATCCATAGATATATCTTCATCTTTTATCTAGTGGAATTTCAAAAACAAATTCTCGTTTAACTCGATCATTTCAAACAAAACATCCACGATGACGTATTACAAG